GTACAGTTCCAAAGCATTGCTAAGATTGAGCCTGAGCGCACCAAAAGTTGTTTTTCTTACTTTTCCCTCCTTCACCCCCCCTTACCTCCTGGTCTCCTGATTCCCTTGTTGGTATGACCTTGAGCATGCCAGCGCCTGTGATAAGGAGCCATCTGCTTCTAACGGTTTCCCATTCCTTCTCCCCCCCCCACCGCTTTACAATGGCAGAACTGTAGCATGTAAAAAGCAATAGCTAAATTAGCCAACATAACAATCTACTATTAAATCTTGCACGGATTCTGACACTGGGAATGAGATTTTGACTTGGTTCTTCTCTCTCAATTGATTTGGAGAATGCCTTACATCTTCATCTTTCTTTGCCATTTCACTGTTTAGAGGGGCAGCCTCGTAAAGCTGTTTAATAAATACACAAAATAAATAAAGTTATACAGTCATACCCTGCTGCTTCCTGGTAGTCAGTTATGCGTAAAGCCCCAGAATATCTCCTGAAAGCCTCCCTTCTCTGGGTTTGTGGACTCATGGAATCTCTTGTAGAAGGGCACAACAGAAGACCGCAAGAATAGTGCAATCCCAAAACATCTGGAGCACCACTTCAAGACCATCAGCATTGACAGAATCAGCACCCGTCAACAGCAAAAGGCAGTTGGAACAGCTCATATCCTGCGATGATACCTTTAACACCATCAAACAACATCTGCCTATTCCAGGTCCTTGGGAAGGACTCAATAGGTGAATAAAAATGCCAAATCCAGTCTAAACATCTGGCAGACTGTGCAACCAACCATAATAATAACAACAGAGAACCAGTTTAGTCTAGTGGTCAAGGCTCCAGGCTAGAAAGCAGGAGACGGTGAGTTCTAGTCCCGCCTTAGGCAGGAAAGCCGGCTGGGTGACTCTGGGCCAGTCCTTCCCTCTCTCCCTCAGCCCAACTCACCTCACAGGGTTGTTTTTGTGGGTAAAATAGGAGGAGGAAAGAGTATTAGGTATGTTCGCTACCTTGAACTATTTATAAATATAAGAAAGGCAGGATAAAATATATAGATACACACACACACACACACACAAGATTCTCTTCTATTGGTAACACACAAGATCCCGCTGAATCTCTCTGGTGTGACAGCTCAAACGAGGTTCAATCTCATGTATCACTCATAGATTGTTTGCCGATCACCATGGAGGTGTATACACAGTGTGTGGCCACATGCTCTTCCCGAAAAGCTCACCACCCATTGTCCAGGAAGAGAAAATGAAAGCAGGAATAAACTCAAAGGGAGAAAACCAATACAATAAAATAAAAATAACATTTCTTGCAATCGATCCCATTAAGGCGTTCATTTCAGCAGGCCAGTCTCTCCCCTCCGGGTCTCCCGACCTCCCCCATCTGCCTGCTCCCCGAGAAACCTTATGGGGGTCGTAGTCCAGCACGCTGCCAGGGCAGGAGCAAGGGGAGGCGGCACGAGGGGCGAGGGGGCAAAGCAATCCCGGAAAAGTCGCGCCGCCGGCCCGTTTCACCCCACCCGGCGGGGACGCCT